ATAAAAAAATGATTATACAGCAACTGCAGCGCAGTGGTTTGCTTAAAAAGCAAGAGACCTCAAAGCAAGCTCAGGGCATATTTTGCGCTATCGGTAAAGAAGGAGGTTTGAACTTTCTAGTTAAATACTTTTCTGATGTACTTCATGGCAAAACCTTTAGGTCTTTTTAGAGCATTTAAAGCAAAAAACCAAAAAAAATATATATATTATTTTTATAAAGCTTATAAAAGTTCTTAAAAAATTTCTTATTTAATTAAATGTGTTTTATAAATCCAAATTCAGCATTCAGTTAAATTTGGGCAACATATATGGCTAAAATTCGTCTTTCAGTTAAATTGGGCATACTCATATGATCTGAATTCGGCTTTTATTAATTTTCAAGTCTTAAAATGTCGACTTCGCCGGTCCTAACTAAATACCTTATATCTGAGTTTATATTTAAGTATCCAAATAAATATATTTTTTTTTTTTTTTTTTTTTTATCATCTTCACTTCCAACAAGGCTGCAAGCAACCACTATAAGAGTTGGAAGTTACTGGAAGAGAAAAGAATAAATCTGTAGAGCAAGATAACGATTGACTGATGACTTAAAAGATTGCAAATTATATGAATCAGGAAAGCAAGATGAAGGAAGCGAATTCCAAAGAACTGATGTTCGAGGAAAAAAACTAGAAGAATAAGAGTTTTTGAAGCACTTAGGAACAGTCACAGAAAAAGGATGAGACTTAATTGAATGGCGAGTAACACGAGAGTGAATTTTAGTAGATGGCACAAGGGACGCTAGCTCTTTAGAGCAGTGCCCATTATAGTATTTGTAGAAAAGAGAAAGAGAAGCAACATTACGACGATGTGACAAAGGTTGGAGATTGGCTGCAAGAGCAGGTCCAACTATGTTTACAATTCGTTTTTGCACCTTGTCTAAAAGAGAAAGAGCAGTATTAGAAGATCCGCCCCAGATGTGGCAACAGTATTCCATACAGGGACGGATTTGAGATTTATAGAGATAGAGAATAGAATCTGGAGTAAGAAAGTGTCGAGCTCGATAAAGAGATGCAACCTTAGCAGATGCTAATTTTGCAATGGATTTGATATACGGTTTAAAAGAAAGATCAGAAGTAAGAGTTAATCCTAGAAGATGAATGGTAGATGACTCATCTAGTACATTACCATTCATAAATATAGGAAGATCTAAATTATTACGATAACGATTGGCCGAATAAAATTGAGTTTTATCTGAATTAAAGTTCACCAGCCACTGTGAGCCCCATGCTGTAGCAGAAGTGAGATCCTTTTCAAGCTCAGATACCCCCTCCAAGCAATCAGAGAGTGTAGGCTTCTTATCATGACAAGAGTAAATGGTAGTGTCGTCAGCGAATAATGCCACCTTAGATGTGAGAATATCTGGAAGATCGTTAATGTAAATTAAAAAGAGTATAGGGCCAAGGATTGAACCTTGAGGAACCCCTGAAGTTACAGGATGTGAAGAAGAGTGTTGTCCATCGAGGACAACTTTTATACTACGATTGGAAAGAAAGGACTCAATAATCTTAAAGACGTTACCAGCTACACCATAAGAAGAAAGCTTATGGAGAAGACCAGCATGCCAAACTTTATCAAAAGCTTTAGAAATGTCGAGTGCGATAGCCTTAACCTCTCCACCTCTATCTAATGCACGGTAAAACCTATCGGTTATTACTGTTAGCACATCAGCTGTAGAACGAGAAGACCGAAATCCATATTGATGATCAGAAAGTAAGTTATTTGATTCAAGATGAGAGATTAAGTGTTTGTTGATTAAAGATTCAAAAACCTTGCTTATGACAGGAAGAAGACTAATGGGACGGTAGTTAGATGAATCAGATCGCTCTCCGGAATTTTTGAAAATAGGGATAACAGATGCTGCTTTCCAGCATGATGGAAAACAAGACTCTGATAAGCACTTGTTAAATAGTTTAGAAAGTATGGATGAAAGCTCCGGAGAACACCTCTGCAAAACTACAACAGGAATGTTGTCAGGACCACAAGCTGTTGAAGAGTCTAAGCAGGAAATTACTTTAGATACAGAGGCTGAAGTGATGCGAATGTCAAGCAAGGGATCAACCTGTTTGACGGCTATGTCGGGTAAAACGCAACTAGTGGAATCAAGAGATGATATTGATGAAAAGTTCTTAGCAAACAATTCAGCTTTGTCTTTAGGTGAGGTGACAAAGTCTGAACCATACAAGAGAGAAGGAATAACAGATTTGCCCTTATTATTGATACTGTTAAAGATTCTCCAGAAATCTCGAGAGCCTAATTTTTGTGATGAGATACGAGATTTAATGACCTGGGAATAGCGAGCTTTGGCGTCAGACAAAACCTTTTTACAATGGTTTCTGGCGATAGTGAACAGATGTCTGTTTTCTGGAGAATTGTTTTGCTGATAGATATGGAAGTAACGGTTTCGATTAGAAATTGCTGCAGCGCAATGTGAGGAAAACCAAGGAGAAGAGTGAGGCTTGACCTGGAATCGTCGAGAGGGAATAAAAGATTCCATGCCAGCCTGAATCCACGAAGTTATGTAAGAAGCACATTTGTCAGCAGGAAGACGAAAGATTTCTACCCAAGGGCCATCACGAAGAAAATCACGGAAAGAGTCCCAGTCAGCTTTAAGGTAGTTGTATGTGGTACGATGATAGGGGGATTCTGATGAAGTAGAAGAATTTGATAATAGTTTTAGAGAGATCAAACCGTGATCAGAAGTACCTAAGGGTGAATGTGGAGAAATTGAGCACTGACTAGGATCCAAAACAAGACATAAGTCGAGTAGAGAAGGTAAATGATTAGGGTTGTCTGGAAAACGAGTTGGAAAGTTGACTATTTGAGTTAGAGATTGAGAAAGGCAAAAGTTGAGGGCCTTAACGCCAGCAGAGTCACTGACACTAGAGCCAAGCCAATCGGTGTGATGGGCATTAAAGTCACCAACAACTACGATATTGGCCGATGGATAAAGAGAGAGGGCTTGGTCAATTTGATCAGAAATAACATCAAGAATAGTGCAGTCTTGGGATGAAGGAGAGCGATATAGAACAAAGAGAAAGGCGATAGAGTGAAGTTGTGCTAAACGAAAGCACATAAATGAATAGTCTGTAGATTCAAACCTAGTTTCACGACAAATGGGTGAGTTCTTACGAATGTAGATGCCCAGGCCAAGCATGTGATTATTGGAGTCTTTACGAATTAAAGGAAGATAACCATCAACACTAAGATCACAAGATGGGACAGCCGAACTCAAATTAGTCTCACAAAGAGCAAGTAGGTCTGGTGAACTTTGCAAGAGATAAGACTCAACAGAAGAAAAGTTACTTCGAAGACCACGAATATTAGTAAATGATAGGTTTAGAGAACTTGGTGATGACAATGGTTTTTTGTGTTTATTAGTTTTAGGTACTTTAGTCATTTTAAATTTATAAAGAACTTGACTCAAGTATAGATAGTACTCAGTACACTATTTAACAACTAAGCAATAGCCTCATTACTATTAATAAACCCTAAGCCGTAACAAAGGGCTCCAAATGTGGCCTCTGCAATGCACACCAAAAGTACAAACAGGGACACCATCCATGCGCAACATGGCACTGTTAGTACTCTGATATTTTTTGGCTGTTGATGGAATCAGCCTCTCTGAGAGCTACCACAGAGTTCGGGAAACCTGACTACCAGCCGGCCTCAGAACCATAAAACTGAGTTTTAGAGCTGTACCCTCATTAGGAGATAATAGAATGAGTTGCCCAGTCATAAAAATAGAGACACAAGCAATACCCACGCATTGAGTCAAGAAGATCCAGCGTTCAACATCCTAAACTGGAAACAATGTATTAAAAATACATCTGCGCCAGCCTAATAGATGAGGAAGGGGTGCGGTGCTGGTCAACAGATAGAATCTGTTTACCCCTTAAGTCTTTGCCTAGGAGGCCTTCTACAAGACAGCAGCTGGATGCATGTAACATCTGCCCAAGATGAGTATTTTTATCGAGACACCATCTCTAGCCTTTACTCAACCAAGAGCCCCAAGGCAGGGGGTGTTTTAATTCGGAGTTAACTTCTCCTAGCCTTTGCCTAAAAAAGCGTATCCTACAAGGCAGCAGGACATGGAGCAGGTTGTACTGGGTTACATGTTACCAGTAGCAGGAAAACATATATATATATATATATATATATATATATATATATATATATATATATATATATATATATATATATGTGTGTGTATATATATAAATTTATTTATTTATTTATAAATATTACACTTAAAGCCAGCACAATACTCTATTTTATCATTTTTTGTTTTTATTCATTTGTTTGTTCAGACAACAAGTAAAGACAGGCCATGCAAAGTCTATAAGTAAATTTAACATAAATTTAGTGATGGTTGTTTAACTCTCCAACTTATATCAGAATCAAAACAGACTATAGCCTGTTTTGAAATCATTTGTTATAGTAGAACTTATAGAAACATTTAGGTTTAATAAAGAATTAACAAATTAACATTCTAAAAATAATTGGTAACAAGCTACCAATAAAAAAGTGAACAAAGATGGTTGCCAATAAACTTATCAAGCTTAAGTTTTTTAATAAATATTAAGGCTTAACGGAAAATTTGATAGTGGAAATTTAAAAATTTTTGTAAGGTGAGGGTTATTATATAATTACACATAGACTTTGTCAGAAATATAAAGAAAATAAAGAAAATAAAGGAACATTTATTTCTAAAAAGAAAATAAGGCATTTAGATATTTTATATACGAGTACCCTATATATTATATATTATACTATATATTATACCCATATATTAGGTACTCATATGTACTAAGTATCATGATGTCTAAATAGCCATATATGGCTATTCAGACTACATGATATAAGAAGACTATTAAGAGTATATACTCATAACTTAAATTATCTTGAAATAAGAACTTTGTTGAAAGTAATAATTTTAATTTTACATTACTATCATTTAGGATATTTACCAGAACTTCAAAGCAAACTTTCGTTAAAGCAAGGTAAATTTTGTAGTTAATATATGTTATGCAAATATAAATAAATAATAAATATGCTACTGAGCAATAAAACACACTGAGCAATAAAAGCCCACAGAGAAATATGAAACATTTCTATTAAAAAAACTTTTTATATTAAGGAGAATAAGTAATGAAAATAAAAACACAAATCATAGACAGCAGTACTTTTATCGTTAAAGTATTCCTAAAACAAAACAATAAAACAATAAACTTTTGGTGTGCATTGTCGAGGCCGCATTTAGATCCCTTTGTTACAGCTTAGGGTTTAATAATAGTAATGAGGCATATGCTTAGACTATTAAATAGTGTATCGAGTACTATCTGTGCTTTGAGTCAAGTTCTCCAACAAAATTGAAAATGACTAAAGTACCAAAAGCAATAAAACACAAAACGCCATCAAAACACCATCGTCATCACCAAGTTCTCTAAATCTATCATTGACTAATTTTCGTGCTCTTTGAAGTAACTTTTCTTCTGTTGAGTAATAAATATCTCTTGTAAAGTTCACCAGACCTACTTGCTCTTTGTGAGACTAACTTGAGTCATCTTGATCTTAGTGTTGATGGTTGTCTTCCTTTAATTTGTAAAGACTTCAATAGTGGCATGCTTGGCCTGGGCATCTACATTAGCATGAATTCAACCATTTGTAGAGAAACTAGGTTTGAATCCACAGCCTATTCTTTTATGTGCTTTCGTTTAGCATCACCATCACTCTATTGCCTTTCTCTTTGTTCTATAATGCTCTCCTTCATCTCAAGACTGCACTCTTTTTGATGTTATTTCTGATCAAATTGATCAAGCACTTTCTCTTTATCCTTCAACCAATATCTCTGTTGTTGGTAATGTTCATCACACTGAATGGCTTGGCTCCAGTGTCAGTGACTCTGTAGGCGTTAAGGCCTACAACTTTTGTCTTTCTCAATCTCTAACACAAATAGTCAACTTTTTAACTCATTTTCCAGACAATCTGAATCATTTACGTTCTCTATTCGACTTATGTCTTGTTTCTGATCCTGGTCAGTGCTCAGTTTCTCCACATTCACCCTTAGATGCATCTGATCACGGTTTGATCTCTCTAAAATTATTATCTCTTACTTCTTCATTATCAGAATCCCCTTAAAGCTGACTGGACTCTTTCTGTGATTTTTTTTTTGTGATGGCCTTTGGGTAGAAATTTTTCATCTTCCTGTTGACAAATGTGCTTCTTACGTAACTTTTTTGATTCAGGCAAGCATGAAATCATTTATGCCCTCTCAACGTTTCCAAGTCAAGACTCACTCTTCGCCATGGTTTTCCTCTCATTGCGCTGATGCGATTTCCACTCATAACCATTACATTCATATCTATCAGCAAAGCAATTCTCCAGAAAGCAGGCGTCTGTTTACTATTGCTAGAAACCATTGTATAATGGTTTTGTCTAACGCCAAAGCCTGCTTTTCTCAGGTCACAAAATCTCATATTTCATCTCAGAAATTAGGCTCTCGTGACTTCTGGAGAATCTTTAACAGTATTTATAATAAGGGCAAAACTGTTGTTCCATCTCTCTTGTATGGTTCAGATTTAATTATAAACTTACCTAAAGACAAAGCTGAATTGTTTCCTAAAAACTTTTCATCTCTCAACTCTTGATTCTACTAGTCACGTTTTACCTGATATATAGCTGTCAAACAGGTTAATCCATTGTCTGGCGTTTGCATCACTTCAGCTTCTGTATCTAAAGTGATTTCCTGCTTAGACTCTTCTACAGCTTGTGGTCCCGACAACGTACTCATTATAGTCTTGTAGAAGTGTTCTCTGGAGCAGTCGTCTATATTTTCAAAAATTTAACAAGTGCTTATCAGAGTCTTGTTTTCCAGTCTGCTGCAAAGCGGCCTCTGTTATCCTTATTTTCAAAAATTCTGGAGACCGATCTTACGATCATAAGCATAGTTTTTGAGTCTTTAATTAACAAACTCTCATTTTGAATCTAATAGCTTACTTTCTGATCATCAATACGGATTTCGATCTTCTCGTTCTACTGCTGATTTGTTAACATTAATAACTGATAGGTTTTATCGTGCTTGCTACTTTTTTACTCAGCATTCTATTCTTTATCTCTATATATCTCAAATCTTGTATTGAATACTTTTGCCGTATCTGGGGCAGATCTTCCAATGATGCCTTTCCTCTTTGAGACAAGGTACAAAAACATATTGTAAACATAGTTGGACCTGATCTTGCAGCCAACCGCCAACCATTATCGCATTGTCGTAATGTTACTTTTCTTTCTCTTTTCTATAAATGCTATAATGAGCACTGCTCTAAAGAGTTAGCTTTTTTTTGTGCCATCTTCTAAATTTCATTCTCGTGTTACTCGTCATTTAACAATTTTTCCTATGTGCTCCAAAAATTCTTACTCGTCTAGTTTTTTTTCCTCCAACATCAGTTGTTTGGAATTCGCTTCCTTTATCTTGTGTTCCTGATTCATATAGTTTGCAATCTTTTAAGTTGTCTGTTAATCTTTATCTTTCTCTTTAAATTTCATCTTTTCTCTTCCAGTAACTTTCAACTCTAATAGTGGTTGCTTGCAGCCTTGTTGGAAGTGAAGATGTTTAAAAAAGGAAATATAACAAAGATAATTTTAAAATTCTTACCAAAGCATGACATAATGTATTTATATTGTTTGTTGTTTTTTTTCTATACTTTTCTTTGTTATATTGAATTTATCATTTTTCATAAATAATGATTATTTTATTCAGATAAAACGGTGTGCATATTTATTTGCATTAGTTTTAGGTCAATTTATATTAATGTAAAGTTGTTTTGCTAAAAAATGTAAAGTTATTAGTTCATTAATATCAAAAGTAAAATTTTTTTTATTGGCTAATGAAAAATTTATTAATACATGTAATTAGATGTGAATCAAACTTGACATTTTCTGCTAAACACCATAACAATTTCAAAATTAAATATTTTCTAGAAGTATTAACTTTATTTAACTCTAAATAAGTTTGTTTAAGGTGATAACTAAAATTATCTTGAAATAAGAAGTTTGTTAAAAGTAATAATTTTAACTTTACATTACTATTATTTAGAGTATTTACGAGAGCTTTCAAGCATACTTCCATCCAAGAAAGGTAAATTTAATGTAATAATAACTATTATGATGGTTATTAAATATGATGATGACAATGATGTTATACATGATCTATTTAAAAATGATGTTCTATATGATTACATTGGTTGATGATTATGATTATAATCATAATCACCAATCAATGTAATCATATCGATGTAATGTAAAGTTGATTTAATAGATAAATTTCTTTGTCTGTGATCATTCTAATAATATTAAAAAAAAAGTAATCACTTTTAAACAATTATAATCTTAATAATATAAAAAAGATAATTTAATATAATATGTATGTAATGTAACAAAGATAATTTTAAAATTCTTACTTAAACCATTTGTATATTTTTTTCATTTGTATTTTTCCCCTCAATTATCTTTGTTATGTGTTGCTTATCATTTTTTATAAATAAGATAATGATAATAATTTTTATATTGAGATTATTCAGAGGTGGGTACAACACTAAAAATTAAGTTTTAAGTTGAGCAAATAAGTAAAAGTTTACCGGGGCTGGGGGCTGGGGGCTGATTTATAAAGTGCGCTGTTTTTAGCCAGGGCTCGAGTCACCTACTTATTAGCCATGATGATGCGATCCCCATAGAACTGAGGGGGTTAGGAGTCGAGTTGAAGCATTTCATTGACTTGGCAGGTGATGGGTGGCAATGAAGGTTTTCCACTAGTTTGGTTTTTACATTCAGTCCAATTCTGTTGTCAAACAAAGAAAAACCGACAAGTATTTTGTATAAATACTAAAGATAATGACTAAATGTAGTTGATATGGCCTTTGTAACCATCACGTTTGGGTATTTATGAAGTTCTTTGATCAACAGAAGGTCATTGAGTGATGCCTTGACAGCCAGTGGTGCTTTATGCCAAATTGCACGTAGATGAGGCTAACAAACAGAGCCAGCTCCTTCACATTGTTTTTTCTGGTTTTGGTCAGCTTGAACTGTTTGTTGAAAAGGTATGTTTTAATACTGTAGGTTGCTTTTGACAGCCATCGAGCACAGAGCTACTCACTGGAAAAGTTGACACAGCCAAGACTATGAAGTGAACAGTCTATGAAAAGTTTTGAATTGTTCTTGTAGAGCATGTTTCTTCTCCTCCTTCTTTGCCAGTAAAGTATCAATGCCAACCATACTGCAGGATGCAGACAAATTGTGCCATATGATCAGATATTGAAATAGTAAGATTGCCAGAGATTTGGTCAGGTGAATTAAAGTTTATAAAAATGTTATCAATAAGTGTCTGTGATTTAGCTGTTATGTGTGTTGGTAGAGTTATAACAGGTTGTAATGAAAAAGAAATAAGCGAGTCATGGTATAGTATATATAGGATTTGATTCATTATATCTAGTATATCCATATTGAAATCCCTCATAAGAATTTTTTTTTTTTTTTTTTTTTCAATACTTAGCTAATCTAACAGTGGAGTTAAATAATTAGTAGTGATGTTGTCTTGATTCATAGAGGGATGTCGATATATGCAACCAATTATTGTATCTTTTAAGTGAGGCTTTATAGTTTCAACAAAAATGGACTCAAGACATTTGAAAGAGTAGATCTTTAAGTTATTGCAAACTATGTAGTTAAATTTGGAGTTTAGATATAGAAGAGCATCCCCTTATTTAGCCTAAGTGGGGTGATACTCAATGTTAAAACCATTATAGATATGCTTGTTGTATTTGTATCATTTACATATAAATTTAACTTAGTAATACCTATTGCCACAGGTAATGTATTAAGAGTGCTAATAAAACTGCAGAGATCATCAATGTGATATGGTAAGGAAGCAATGTTGAGATATAAATACTCTAAAGATCTGAATTAGGATTAATTTTTTTATTGAAATCTATGATGTCATAGTATTTACAATTAAATAACTTTTAAATAAGAAAATGTTTGAATTTTTTGAATTTTTTTACTCAAAAATATTCAGCTCAAACATTTTTTTAAAACATTCTCTTTAATATGAACACAACTTGTCTTGGCTCTTTGGAGTCCCTTTAATGCCAATATTTGTTGATGTTGTGTCAAAGTACAATCCACCAACATGTGATTTAATATTGTAATCATCAGGCATTTGCATGGCTCACTTATAGATTGTCTCCTAAAGGTGAAGGTAAAGAAAGCGCACCCTAGTAGTGCAATTCATTAAGGTTTACTACTACTGCTAGTCGCCGTTCATATTTTAGTATTTTCCCTTTAATTGTTTTAAATATAGTTTTCCATCAAAATGAATTATACACAGGAATATAGGTAAGTGGACTTTTTTTTTATTATCTTGTTTGATGACTTCCATATCTACTCCTGCAGCTTGAAAAACTGCAGTTGTAACTTTCTGTAGTATCATATAAAATATCTCTATATTATTAACAGTTGCCATTAAAGCAACACTTTCTGATCATATATCTTTAAGAATGATGGCTTGAGTTGAAGGTTAAATTTTAAAATATGTATTTTATATTGTTAAAATAAAAACAATTTTTCTTATAGAGCTCTAAGTTTCATTTTTGCAATCATAAGCCATCGAAGAATTTTGCAGTTTTGTTAAAAGAAAAGCCATTTCATGAATTTCTCTGGCTTATGATAAAATTTTCATAATCATATCATAAGCCATTGAAGAATTTTGAAGATATTGTAAGCCATTGAAGAGTTTTAATGACTTAAATAAAAATATGTAAGTTTGTCTGTTTGATAAAAAAAAAATTTGAATTTCTTGTGGAGACAAAGGTTGCGAGCTTTTTTTGTCACTTGGTTGTAGGGTTTGTTGGTTGGTTGTTATTTTGTTTGTATAGTGAGGTTGATTGTAGGGTTTGCATTGCTTTATTATTTTCCATTTAGGTAAAGATTTTATGTTTTAACATTTATGTTTTTATATTTGTCAAGACAATTCAGTGTCATTTTTATACTAAACTGTATTAAAATTTTAATTTAATGCAATTAATGCAGTTTTAATTAATCTCAATTTATTATAGATGATATGTTATTATATTTTTGATATAGTATATTATATTATTGCTGACTTTAGCTTTGATTGAAAAAAATTTATTTTTTTAATTGAAATGTGAATCTGTAAAAAAAAAATGTTTAAAAAAATGTTTTCTGAAGTAATTAGTGTAAAATAGTAGCCCGTTCGTGTTTTTAAAGACAGGGGCATGCCAAATCTTGAACACATGTAGTTACATTAAACTATAATAAAATATTTTTATTATATAATATAAGCTTTTTACAATTTTATATAGAAATGGATATCAGAATAATAGAAATCCTTGTTGACAAAGTGTCTTCAGATTGGCAAACATTTGCTGATTTCTGTGAATTTACTGATAAATATTCAGTAAAAGCTATTGTTGAGCGTATAAACCAGTTTACAAGCAATAACAAATTAAAAATGAGACATTTATTGATGGAACTTTATAAACAACATCCTAAAGATTACGAAAAATATATTATTGCTTCACTGAAACTTATGAAGAGAAGTGATGTACTTGAAGATTTAGGTATGTTTTGGTTGATGACAACTGTTAATTGAATTTCAATTTCTTTATATACAGTAGTTAGATCAGTTTTTAAATATCTTATTATATATAACAGCTAACTATAAGATAACTGCATTAAAGATAAAATCTGAAAAATATCTGGAACGCAAAATCTGGAAAAATATCTGGTCTTTAAAATCTTTGTTTATGCAAAACCTTGTTCTTTGTTTTCAAGTGGTGAATCAACTCAAGTTTTGTTAGCGAAAAAGTTATAAAAAATAAAACAATAAACTTTTGGTGTGCATTGTCGAGGCCGCATTTAGATCCCTTTGTTACAGCTTAGGGTTTAATAATAGTAATGAGGCATATGCTTAGACTATTAAATAGTGTATCGAGTACTATCTGTGCTTTGAGTCAAGTTCTCCAACAAAATTGAAAATGACTAAAGTACCAAAAGCAATAAAACACAAAACGCCATCAAAACACCATCGTCATCACCAAGTTCTCTAAATCTATCATTGACTAATTTTCGTGCTCTTTGAAGTAACTTTTCTTCTGTTGAGTAATAAATATCTCTTGTAAAGTTCACCAGACCTACTTGCTCTTTGTGAGACTAACTTGAGTCATCTTGATCTTAGTGTTGATGGTTGTCTTCCTTTAATTTGTAAAGACTTCAATAGTGGCATGCTTGGCCTGGGCATCTACATTAGCATGAATTCAACCATTTGTAGAGAAACTAGGTTTGAATCCACAGCCTATTCTTTTATGTGCTTTCGTTTAGCATCACCATCACTCTATTGCCTTTCTCTTTGTTCTATAATGCTCTCCTTCATCTCAAGACTGCACTCTTTTTGATGTTATTTCTGATCAAATTGATCAAGCACTTTCTCTTTATCCTTCAACCAATATCTCTGTTGTTGGTAATGTTCATCACACTGAATGGCTTGGCTCCAGTGTCAGTGACTCTGTAGGCGTTAAGGCCTACAACTTTTGTCTTTCTCAATCTCTAACACAAATAGTCAACTTTTTAACTCATTTTCCAGACAATCTGAATCATTTACGTTCTCTATTCGACTTATGTCTTGTTTCTGATCCTGGTCAGTGCTCAGTTTCTCCACATTCACCCTTAGATGCATCTGATCACGGTTTGATCTCTCTAAAATTATTATCTCTTACTTCTTCATTATCAGAATCCCCTTAAAGCTGACTGGACTCTTTCTGTGATTTTTTTTTTGTGATGGCCTTTGGGTAGAAATTTTTCATCTTCCTGTTGACAAATGTGCTTCTTACGTAACTTTTTTGATTCAGGCAAGCATGAAATCATTTATGCCCTCTCAACGTTTCCAAGTCAAGACTCACTCTTCGCCATGGTTTTCCTCTCATTGCGCTGATGCGATTTCCACTCATAACCATTACATTCATATCTATCAGCAAAGCAATTCTCCAGAAAGCAGGCGTCTGTTTACTATTGCTAGAAACCATTGTATAATGGTTTTGTCTAACGCCAAAGCCTGCTTTTCTCAGGTCACAAAATCTCATATTTCATCTCAGAAATTAGGCTCTCGTGACTTCTGGAGAATCTTTAACAGTATTTATAATAAGGGCAAAACTGTTGTTCCATCTCTCTTGTATGGTTCAGATTTAATTATAAACTTACCTAAAGACAAAGCTGAATTGTTTCCTAAAAACTTTTCATCTCTCAACTCTTGATTCTACTAGTCACGTTTTACCTGATATATAGCTGTCAAACAGGTTAATCCATTGTCTGGCGTTTGCATCACTTCAGCTTCTGTATCTAAAGTGATTTCCTGCTTAGACTCTTCTACAGCTTGTGGTCCCGACAACGTACTCATTATAGTCTTGTAGAAGTGTTCTCTGGAGCAGTCGTCTATATTTTCAAAAATTTAACAAGTGCTTATCAGAGTCTTGTTTTCCAGTCTGCTGCAAAGCGGCCTCTGTTATCCTTATTTTCAAAAATTCTGGAGACCGATCTTACGATCATAAGCATAGTTTTTGAGTCTTTAATTAACAAACTCTCATTTTGAATCTAATAGCTTACTTTCTGATCATCAATACGGATTTCGATCTTCTCGTTCTACTGCTGATTTGTTAACATTAATAACTGATAGGTTTTATCGTGCTTGCTACTTTTTTACTCAGCATTCTATTCTTTATCTCTATATATCTCAAATCTTGTATTGAATACTTTTGCCGTATCTGGGGCAGATCTTCCAATGATGCCTTTCCTCTTTGAGACAAGGTACAAAAACATATTGTAAACATAGTTGGACCTGATCTTGCAGCCAACCGCCAACCATTATCGCATTGTCGTAATGTTACTTTTCTTTCTCTTTTCTATAAATGCTATAATGAGCACTGCTCTAAAGAGTTAGCTTTTTTTTGTGCCATCTTCTAAAATTCATTCTCGTGTTACTCGTCATTTAACAACTTTTCCTATGTGCTCCAAAAATTCTTACTCGTCTAGTTTTTTTTCCTCCAACATCAGTTGTTTGGAATTCGCTTCCTTTATCTTGTGTTCCTGATTCATATAGTTTGCAATCTTTTAAGTTGTCTGTTAATCTTTATCTTTCTCTTTAAATTTCATCTTTTCTCTTCCAGTAACTTTCAACTCTAATAGTGGTTGCTTGCAGCCTTGTTGGAAGTGAAGATGTTTAAAAAAGGAAATATAACAAAGATAATTTTAAAATTCTTACCAAAGCATGACATAATGTATTTATATTGTTTGTTGTTTTTTTTCTATACTTTTCTTTGTTATATTGAATTTATCATTTTTCATAAATAATGATTATTTTATTCAGATAAAACGGTGTGCATATTTATTTGCATTAGTTTTAGGTCAATTTATATTAATGTAAAGTTGTTTTGCTAAAAAATGTAAAGTTATTAGTTCATTAATATCAAAAGTAAAATTTTTTTTATTGGCTAATGAAAAATTTATTAATACATGTAATTAGATGTGAATCAAACTTGACATTTTCTGCTAAACACCATAACAATTTCAAAATTAAATATTTTCTAGAAGTATTAACTTTATTTAACTCTAAATAAGTTTGTTTAAGGTGATAACTAAAATTATCTTGAAATAAGAAGTTTGTTAAAAGTAATAATTTTAACTTTACATTACTATTATTTAGAGTATTTACGAGAGCTTTCAGTCAAATATCCGCTTAAGAAGTTAAATGATGATGATGATGAAGAAGATGACGATGAAGATGATGATGATGATGATGATGATGATGATGATGATGATGATGATGATGATGATGATGATGATTTTTTCAGAAAACGTTTAAGCAAACTTTCAATTAAGAAAGGTCTTCAGGTCAATAAAAGTAAGAAAGGTAAATTTAATGTAATAATAACTATTATTATGATTATTAAAATGATAATGTTGATGTTGTTATTTTTTTACTATTATTTTTATTATTGTTATTATTATTATTATTATTATTATTATTATTATTATTATTATTATTATTATTATTAAAGGAGTTACGAGCATGACATTATATTTGTCAATATTATTTGGTGATCATGAGGGTAATCATGATAAAGGCAACTATAATAATGATCATAATAATAACTATAATTATAATTTTTTTTTATATTTAGATTAATCAGAGATTGCTAGAGCACTGAAAATTTGAGTTTCTAGTTGATTAAATAAAATTTTCTACTAATAAAAGTGATTGTTGATTTGATACATTTATTTTGATTTGCAATCATTCTAATAATATTTAAGAAAATAATAATAATAATGTTGAAACAATTGTAATTTTAATAATTAGTTAATATAATATAATGTAACTAAGATAGTTTTAAATTCTTGCTAAAATTATTTGTAATTTTTTTTTTTTTGTATTTTTCAATTTAATTGTCTTCATAATGTATTGCTTATCATCTTTTACCAAATCAGCTAATGATGATGTTTTTAATACTTAGATTAGTTAGAGATGGGTACAACACTTAAGTTTAAGTTTTATGTTGAGCAAATAAATAAAAGTTTGCTCAGGCCAAGGCTGGGGTCTGATATATTAAAAGTGACGTGTTTTTTCAGGGCTCATGTCACCTACTAATTACCCCTTTTTAAAAAGGAATTCTTTTAAACATTTGAGAGATACTTTTATATATATATTTGGGATGTACCTTTTATTAATAGTATAAAAATGAAATGCTTATTAAAAAAGTGTATAATATTAAATTATTGACTGAAATTATTTATTTATGCTCCCGAGAATCTAATTGATTAACTATCCCAGAAAAATTTGTTTTATTTAAATGGTCTCTTTTAATATTAGTTGTATCAGTAATACCAGTATTACCTATTATTAGTATTTAATATTACATAACTATATATACTATATAATTTTTATTTTCATTATTTAATATTACACATAAAGCGTAGTATTTAATTGCACACACAATATTGTATAGTATTATATTTTGACATAATTATTTACAAGTATTAATTACGCATGAAATTGAAGTCTTTAGTGCGTTTAGTATATTTATTATGTTCTCTTCATTTTTTATTTTTTACCACTATCTTTAATTTAGATTTGAAAGTTTCGATTTTTAATCTGTGAACAAGATTTGAGGCTATTGTTGAATTGTTCAATCTTTGTGTATTTCTACCCATCTCAATCTTTTAACATTATTTATTTTGCATGGTTAGGATTTTTGGTATCACCACATCTATTTGTCCCTTATAAACTGTTTTTAAAGAGTTTTTTAGAATTTGTACATTTCACAAATAGTCTTTTACAGTTCCTTTGCTCTCTTTGGTAATTCATTTACTAATTGGTAATTTCTTTGCGCTTTTCACTTGATGATTATCTCTGTGTCATTCTTCTTTTCCTTGATTGGCGACAGGCTCATCAATAGAAAGATTTAAAAAATGAGCATGGTCAGATTGATTTCTACAACTCTAGATTTGTTATATGCCAGGTCTTGATAACTTATATCAAACTTAAGGTTAATTGTTTGATATTTAGATGTCACTCAGAGTCAGGCAATTTTCAGTATTTTTTTTGTTATACAAAAGTTACATTCTTTGTTAGAGAAAATTTGAATTAGGACATAAGTGCTGTATGCTCTCTCAGCTGAATCAATGTCCACTTTTGAAATCGCTTTTGAAAAAACTTTTGAAATCTTAAATGGACAGATCATTGCTCTATTTTCAAACTTTTTTTAAACTTTCAGAAAAAAGAAACTTTCAGCTTTATCTTTTTCATTGACTTGTAGAATATCAAAGATTCTATAGGTTTTCTGAGTAACATATTCCCCATAGAACTTAAAGGGTCAAAAATACAGTCGAAGCATTTCTTGAATCGGTAGATGATGGGTGACAATTTTCTACTATTTCGATTTTTACATCCAGTCCAATTCTGTTGTCAAACAAAGACAAACCAACAAGTGTTTTGTATAAATACGAAAGATAAAGAATTTTTTTTGTTAATTCACCTCCTCAAGGCTGAGAAGGCCACTACAGACGAGGAGGCTACTTATTTGTGGTTATATAACCCTCTCTCAACTCTATAACTCTGAAACACGAACCTTGACAAACAAGGCTGCTGCACGGAGAAGCGTGTTAAGCGCGGTACTACCAGGGGCGTTGCAGGGATTGAACTCAGAACCTCTCGCTTATGAAGCGAGCGCTCTACCACTACACCACTACCGCACTGATATGAACTTGACAGTTGTTTTTGCCATTTTATTTAAACTAAAATCAATAGTTTATGTTTTCGTCAAGAGTGTCTTTTCCAATGTTTTCTTCTTTAGAGTTACTATAGTGATATTAGTGTCTTGATTTAGGTTCAATATTTTTTCTTTTTCTAACACTTGTTTTTTATATTTCTTAATTAAGAGATTTTTTCAACAGTGATTTTTTCTCTATGTGGAAAAACATAAAAAGTCAAAGATTGTCCCCATTAGTTAGATGATGTGAGGTTGACAGTTCCTATGCACCCTTCTCTAACAACCACTTTTAAGTAATTCTTCTTGTTTTTGCTATTTCATCAAAAATCAGTAGTTTATGTTTTTGTCAAAAGTGATTTTTCTAATGTTTTCTTCTGCTTTAGAGTTGCTAAATTCATATCAGTGTCTTGATTTAGATTCAATATTTTTTATTTTTCTTACAAAAAAATAAAAACTCTTTTTAATTTACATAAACGATCTTCCAGATATTCTCACATCTAAGATGATATTGTTTGCTGATGATACTACCATTTATTCTTTTCATGATAAGAAGCCAACTCTCTCAGGCTTGGTCGGGAAGCGGGAGCGATCGCTCTCGAATACTGACCACGGAATTTATATTTAGTTGCGTAAAACTGGCCAGGTTTTTAAGTCGTTTTGAGAACATTTAAGTTTATGTACGAAACAAAATTTTTTTGTTTTACGGACATACATGGAAACATAAAAAACTTGAATGTTCTCAAAACATCTTTGTGCGAAAGAATAAAAAGAATATTTGCGAACACTAAAAACCCGCCAAATTAACGAACAAACTAATTCTATTGGTTCAAAAAATACGCTATTTAAGCGAAATAAAGTTCTAGAGTATTCTGTTAAAATGTTTTAAAAAATTGTATTAAACACGATTTGTTACGTTTTGAGATTTCTAGCATTGTTTTAAGAATATATATTATTTGTTTACGAAAATAAATGTTTTAAATATATATTGAATAAATTGTCAAAATTTTAAAAGTTTATTATAAATCATAGATTTTATTAGTATATTCTTATTTTTTATTTTAAAAGAGATTGTAATCTTTATGTAAATGTAATTTTGTGTATTTGTTTTTTATCGTAATGTATCTTTTAAAGCAATTTTTATGATTTAAACAAAGACTTAAAAAAATAATTGCGTTTTCAATGAAGTTATAATCGTTAAAGTTAATAAAACTAATTATGTAACAAACATATAAGTAGTTTCTGGTTACTAAACACAAAAAACGCATACGTAGTAACTCGCGGATGAACAAGCATCGCGCCTGAGGTCACGACAGTACACAAATATATATAGCAAATAATTAGATATAAAGAAAAGTTTCTAGATATTGGTTTACTTACTCTAATTATTTTCGCTTAAGTTGCCATTCTTAAAACTCGTTATACTTTTTTCTGCTTTAAATACTAATTAAAATTAAAAAGCCCACTCACTAAACATCATCAGCGATATTTCGAAGCAGTTTCGCTTCCTGGTCATTAAGTATTTTTAACCTTTTTAGTTGATTTCTATCTTGATTATTTAATTCCTATAGTAATTCAATGATTTAATTATTTCATTTATTTATCTTACTAAGAAGAATCGTTTCAAATATGTTAGACTTTTCAAACTACGCGAAACATAAAATTGGTATTATATTAATTAACTTTTTTATTTATAAAATAATTTATCTTAAGTAAAACTAAAACTTGCAAACTTAGTTAAATAAAGAATATTTATTTCTCTTTTAAACAATCGTAAGTTGTTACTTTATATAAAAAACATCGCTTAATTTTTTTTTTTTTTTGTAATTGTCTCTCATCGGTCCAATTAATCTTCGTCGCTTTTTTTTTTTTTTGCTTTTTAAAATGTTCTCAAAACGACTAGAAATCTGGCCAGCTTTTCGCAACTAAATATTATTTACGTGGTCAGCAATCGAGAGCGATCGCTCCCGCTTCCCGACCAAGCCTGCTCTCTGATTGTTTGGAGGGGGCATTTGAGCTTGAAAAAAATCTCACTTCTGCTACAGCATGGGGCTCACAGTGGCTGGTGAACTTTAATTCAGATAAAACTCAATTTTTTTTAGCCAATCGTTATTGCAATAGTTTAGACCTTCCTATATTTATATATGGCAATGTATTCGATGAGTCATCTACCCTTCATCTTCTAGGATTGACTCTTACTTCTGATATTTCTTGGAAACCATATATCAAATCCATTGAAAAATTAGCATCTGCTGAAGTTGCATCTCTTTATCGAGCTCGACACTATGGATTCTATTCTCTATCTCTATAAATCTCAAATCCGGCCTTGTATGGAGTAGTGTTGCCATATCTAGGGCGGATCTTCTAATGATGCACTTTTTTATTTTAGACAAAATGCAAAAACGCATTGTAAACATAGATGGACCTGCTCTTGCAGCCAACCTTTAATTATAATCGTAATATTTAATTATAATTGTAATGTTGCTTCTTTTTCTCTTCTCTACAAATACTATAATGGGCATTGCTCTAAAGAGCTAGCGACTCTTGTGCCATTTACTAAAATTTATTCTCATGTTACTCGTCATTTAATCAAGTCTCATCCTTTTTCTGTGACTGTTCCTAAGTGCTCCAAAAACTCTTATTTGCC